GAGGAATCGGATGTATTTCTGGCAGGGAGACAGGCAGAGAGAAGAGACTCTAGGTAGACCAATATACCTTTCACTTTAACATTTAAGATGGCCAATTTCCTGATTTCCGCCCCCAACCCCCACACAAGACAAAGTCTTAATGGATTTCTCTCCCTAACTCCCCTGCCAGAGGGAACTGCTCCCAGGACTTTCAGATCTCTCACCAGAAGATTTCCTGTGGTAAGAACCAATCAGCTCCCCTGTCTCTGTCCATGTTATCCAATCCTCTGTGATGCTACAAGCCAACTGAGTTTGAGGGACAAAGGGAATACACTCCATGGCCACACATAAAACTCCAACCTGAACACCACCAGCTCTGGGTCGCCTTCCCACCTGGAGTCTGCCTCCCTGGGTGTTTTGCTACATGTACATGTGCTTTCACTTTTGATAGAATCTTGTTGAGTGCTGAGACCTTGTTTTTCCTGCAATTTCATTGTTTGAATGGGTAGAGAAAAAGAATCTGCTTTTACCACCCTAGAGGACATCAGAATGCCCCTAAAAGCCCATGGTAGTCTATCGCTGTATTGAAAGGCAGCTGTGTAGGTAGGGAGGACCAGATTTTGCAGTCAGAGGCCCGGGTTCACATTTGGACTCTGTCCTGCTTGTATCATCTCAGGAACACCTCCTCTGTGTTCTGTGAGTCTTCTCTGGACGACAAAGCAAACAGCTGTGCTTCTCTTAGTTTGATTGTGATCGTTAAATGAACCAATATGCCGAAAACCAGAACAGTGTCTTTTATTTAGTAAGAAGTGCAGAAATCTTCACAATACAATTATTGTTCACTGGGAACAATAATTTTGGTTTTTTTTTGTTTTGTTTTTTTTTTTTTTTTTTTTTTTTTTTTTGTTTTTTTTTTTTTACAAATTGCTCTTTTCTGAGGCAGTTTGGAGTCAAAGGTACTACATCCGGCTTGCTTTTACGGCAGAACTGAAAGGAACATGAGATTCCCCCCCCGACTGTGGTCGGTGTGGTGGATCTTTCAATGGGGTGTACCTGACTCCCTGTAGTCTACAAGAGAACAGCATGAGGCTGCAAAGAGAGAGCCTAGCCAGGGAGAAAGAAGCTTGGCTTGCTTTTCTGTTAGCCATTTTGTCAGACTCTCTAGTCCTGGCATGGTTTTCCCTCTTTCTTTTTCTTTCATTGTTTCATCCACGTGGCAGTGATCCATACATCGGTGACTTTAAGAACGTTGTTTGTTAAAGCAGATGTCAGTATGGAGACCAATAACCTTCAAGCTTTCTTCTGTGCTGCCTGTTATCTCTGTAACTCTTTAAGATGTATTTTATTTAGTGTGTATGTATATGTGTGTATGGGGTGTACATGTTGTGTGTGTGTGTGTTTAGGCAGGTATATTACATGCATGTGGTTGCCAGAGGTCAATGTCAGATGACTTCTTTGATCATTAATCACCTTAATTTTTTTTGAGACTGTCTTTTAGTGAAACTGGAACTCACTGATGGAGCTAGGCTGTCTGCCCAGTGATCTCCAGGGATCTGCCTGTCTCTGCCTCCTGTGCCACCGTACCTGGCTTTTACATGGATATTAGGGATGTGAACTCAGGTCCTCATGCTTATGTGACAAGCACTTTACTTTCTAAGCCATCTCCCCAGCCCCTGTAACTCTCGATAAATCATTTCATGTCTCGCTGGTGCAATTTCTAATTTATACAATGGGCTTTCCTCCCTGATTGCTTGGGCTAATCAGATGTGTGACAGCAACTTGTAAACTGTAAAAGGTGGCATAGATAATGTGTTGTTATTAGTGATTCCTTTATTTCCCTTGCTCTCTACAAATAGACCTGCACTATCCTGCCCTGTGCTGTTGCCATTTCTGTGCTGATTTTATTTGAGGGCTTTACTCACAAGCCTGACACTGGTTTGTATATGTTGGCATCTCTTGCAGTGGAGATGGTAAATTGCTGGGCAGATCACTACAGACTGTTTTCATAGAACAAGAGATTCTGGCAGTTTTCAGTAGGGGTTCAATTTGCTAACCATACAGTAACAGGAACTTTAGGATCATAAGCTGTTATTTGCTGATTCTGAGTATTAGTTACTTTTCTGTTGCTATGATAAAACACCAGGATGAAGTCAATTTATAGAAGAGTTTATTTAAGAGTCCACAATGGTGGGGGAGGCATGACAAATGTGGCCAGAGCAGAAAGCCAAGGATCACATCTTCAAGCAGGCACAGGAAGTAGAGAAAGACTGGAAATCTGGCAAGGCTTCCATGTACACACTTCCTCCAGCATGGCCACACCCCCTAAAGGTTCCGTGACCCTCCCGAAACAGTACCACAAACTGGGGACCAAGTGTCCAAACACTAGGAGCCTATGGGCAACATTCTCTTTCAAACCATCACATCCTGTTACGCTGATGGTTAATAAAAAAACTTTGAAAGATTATTATTTGGGGCTTGAGAGACAGCCTAGCAGTTAAGAGTTAAGAGTACTGACTGTTCTTGAGAGGACCCAGTTTTAGTTCCCAGCACCCACATGGCAGCTGACAATGATCTTGTCACTCTAGCTCCAGGGGACCAAATGCCCTCTTCTGATCTCTGCGAGCATTGCACTCGCTGGCTCACTAACATATGTGCAGGCGAAACTCATACAAATAAAAATAAATACAAATAGGTAAATGAATAAATAAATTTGAAAAGTCACTGTGATGGAAGCATTTTCACTAGTAAATCCATGCAATAAGACCATGTTTTTGTAATTTTGTGAACTGGTTCAACTTGGCTGCACCGAAGTATAACAAGAGAGAAAGAGAGAGGGAAGGTGTCTCTGTCACTTGTGGACAGAACTAGATGGGGTCAGACCTGTGCTCTGTGGGTCATAGAGAACATTCTGAAATTCTGCGCCTTTCAAGTCTCAGTCATCAACAGAAATCGAGCTCAGAGAGTGCATCTTATTGAAGACTGGATTTTCCCAGCCTTTCAGCAGCCCTGCAAACAGAACTGAGTGGCTGGGAGAGACCCTTGGCACCAAGTAGCTGGAGTTAACAGAACGCGGCGGGGACACAGAATTTCACCTCCACCGAACATATTACCGGAGAAATACAGTACGGAACGCAGCAGGCTTCTGCAAACAACGCATCCCTTTAAGTTAATTGGTGTTATATAGAAGCCGAAACGCTCCGCTTATTTACAAAGCTCCAGATTTATGTAAAGCAAAACCAATTACACTTAATGCCTAAACTATTCCAGGTGCTCAGCGATAATGTCGCCAGGCACTAGAGAAGAAACTGCACAGTGAATGCACCCTGTTCCAAATGGAAGCGTGTGTAGTTACTGCAATTTAGCTAATCACAAGTGTCAACGCCAACGTGAGAATTCTAAGCTCTCCTGGTGCTTGCTTTGGGTCAATTTTATAATTCTGTAGATCTTTCATTGCAAGGGATGAGTGAAAGAGTAATGAGCACCTTTTTTCTATTACAATGTGGAAATTAAGGAGATGAAGGCAAATTTGGGAAAGGGCCAGAATATAGCAGATTCTTTTTCTAACATGGAGAGAGACGGGCAGAGCTTTCCATTTATACCAAGATGAGGTGTTTGGCGCTTTCTTGATCTTCCGGGTGTTCATTATGAGACTGATGCACGGACTACACGCTGTGCTAACGAGGCTCCTTTGGGGTGTTCATTAAACCCAAAATTGCAAGCTTGGCATTTAACCTTTTGCAGCAAGGAAAGTTTGTAGGGAGCAGCAGGGTCTGCCCTACTGTTTTGCCAGGGACTTAGGAGAAACAAAGGCTTTGAAAAAGTTGTGGGAAAGAATTTCTACCCTTAAGAGCTAATCTTCTTACTTGTCCTCCAAATACACAGCAAACAAATAGTTGGAATAAGACAAGCACCTGGTGCTTTACAGCTGTTCTTTTGCAATTAAAAATGCATATCGTAACCTAATCAAGTTGAATAAATCTTTTATTCTACAGCTCTGAAACATTTTATAGATTCACAGGAGAGATACTTAATTGCAGAACCTCTTGCAATGAACAGATAAACACACCTACCTAATCCAGCGTGAATAGTCTTGGAGAGCATGGGCTTTCAGACTTCAGGGAGGGGAATGATAGCAGTGTGCCAGGGAAACCTTCAATGTCTGGGTACCAACATGGAAGAATAGGGTTTAGGTTCACCAAGATGGGCCATGCAGGGGTAGGAAAGATTCACCTAAAACCGGCTGTGTGGAGCCAAACCTTGACAGACAGTACAACAAAGGCAAAAGACATTAATTTTATTCAATTAAAAAAAAATGAAGGCTGGTATGGTAGTACAAGTCTGTAATCCCAGTGCTCTGGAGATGGAAGCAACAGAGTGTGGTCAAGAGTTCAAGGTCATCCTCAGCTACATAGTGAGTTTGAGGCCAGCCTGGGCTATATGAGACCCTGTCCCAAACCAAATCAAACCATCTTTATTTTAGTAGCATTCCTTTTGAATTCAGAGAAAATTTCTTTAATCAAGACATATTTTAGTGGAATATCAGGATTGAATATAGCAAAATCATATATATGTTTATTGTATACTCAGAAATATATACTCTATGGTCACAATAACTATGATGCAATAAAGTCTTAATTAATGTACAGAAAGAATACCAAAATACGGTTTCTTAGCTTCTAATGACTCATTCAAGTTTTAAATAAAACGTTTTTGTTGCTTTTAATAGATGACCTGATGTAAAAGGTTATAAAATGTGACTGGAATATATAAAATTGTCATTTTTTAGTCATGGAGTAACCACTTAAGACTTTGAAATCATTTTATTAATTTAAGAGCATGATACATCAATACAAAAGCATGATAGTTTATTAGAAGGGCCTTAATTGGTCATTATAAAAAAAGTGCACAGATAATATTTAGTCACTTCCTTTTATGTTGATTCTCATTAAAATATATAAACTATTCAGCTGAAGAAGAAAATAATGAATAAGGGTTCTTATAAGACAGGCACAAATACAGTTTCAGAGGGCTGTCTCCCGAAGATCAATACTTGAAGACATGTCCTGTATACTGCCATAAAATTTCAGAGACTTTTCACAGAGGAGAAGTGTTTCTTCACAATTGCTTCCACGGATGCTCTGGGCATTAAAATGATTTAGATTACAATATCTGAAAAAGACAGAAGCTTTCCTTAGGAGCAGATGTAGATGAGAATAAATCACTGGCCTTCCTCCTGAGCTTGTCTACCTTTATGATGGGCTCATAGATGCTGGTACAACAGTGGTCATTATTTAAGAGGGCTCACCAGGACAGTCTTTATACAAGGACAAAAGAGTTTTATTTAGTACACAGTAGGGGTCTCCTAAGAGCCTTTAGATAGCATTCTCTTATTACTGAGACAAGGTCTTAAGGCACTCTATATAGCCCAAGCTATCCTGAGACTCATGCAGTCCAGGCTGACTTTGAACTGGAGGCAATCCTCCTGCTTTGGCTTCTCAAATGCTGGATCTTGTAAAAGAGCAAGACGGTACTCTTTTACAACCTTCTGTGAGTCTCTTCCATGCTGTCAGTGACAGACCCTGAAATTATATTGGCAATGGATTTCATGGCTGCCTGAACTCAAAGGACTTATCACATGTACTATAACTTTGTACTAAATTGCACTGTAAATTTGGTGCCGAGACCATTGTCAACGAAAGTGTTCATGGCCACATTTCTAGAAATGTTCACCCTCCACCCCTAACACCAGAGAAAAGAACCTTGCCTGTGCCTTTCCAGATACCATACTATTCTGGGAAGGGGATCATTGCCATTTAATAGGTTGGAAAACTAAAGTGCAAGGGCAAAACAACTTCCTAAGGGTTTATAGAGTGGGTACTTGGTAGAGCTTGGCATTGGAACCAGAACACAATTCCTCTGAATTCTGGCCTTTCTGTCACTTTGTGTGCTCCAAACATTCCTTAAACACTTTGGGTAAGCTCCACAAAAGTGGGCTCTTAGAGTACTTTGCTCACTGTGCTGCTCTTAGTGCCTAGACAGTGCCCGATATACAGCAGAGGTTCAGGAAATATGAGTTACAAATTCAAGGTTATCAAATGTGCTTAAGTCTCTGGAGTAGGCCATCTATATTTTGGTTTGTGATGGCTTCACAGGGCTATTTTATTTTCCTTTCCTTCTCAGTATATTGCTCAAAAGAACCATAAGAGAGTGATTATTGCCTAATAGATGGTCACTTGTCTCTGATGTACACCACTTTTAGCAATTGTTAGAGGCTGTGAATAAAAATTTATGGTATCTTGAACAAAACAGGTCCAATTACATAAGATGTGTTTTCCAGAACTTATAGGTACAGTGGAGTCAAGTCATGAAACAAACACTCCCTTGCACCCTTCAATCTGTGACAGTTAATCTTGATTATTAATTTGATGAAATTTAGAATCACCTAGAAGACAAACCTCTGGGCATGCTTATGAAGGTGTTTCTAGAGAGGTTTGAGCTAGTATGACCCATCCTGAATGTGGGTGGCACCACCTCATGGGGTGGGGTCCCAGACTGAAAAGAATTCAAGCAAGCTGAGGCCAGCACTCATCTCGCTGCTTCCTGACTACAGATGCAGTGTGGCCAGCTGTCACATTCTCCTGCTGCTGTGCCATCCCTACATGAGCTGAACTTTCCAAACCATCAGCTAAAGTAAACTCTTTCTTCCTTAAAGTGCTTTGTCAGGTGTTTTGGCACAGGAATGAACAAGTAACTAATATACACTCTAATATAGGATACACATTTGCATTTAGTACTTAATAGACATATTTACCCACAGCTTTTTAGTAGGAAAAGTTACATCATTTAACTTGCTTCCTTCATCCTGATGCTGGAGAGCCTTAGGTAGGACGTATTGCAATTGCATTGTTTGAAAGCTGATTGAGGGAAATCCCAATGCAGACAAAGGCAGGGGAGGGGTCCCCCTTCCCTTCCTTCTCTCTTCCCCCTCCTCCTCCTCTCTCTCTCTCTCTCTCTCTCATCTCTCTCTCTGTCTCTCTCTGTACATGTAAGAGGTAAGTCTGGTCTGATATACATGTATAATTCCTAACTGTACTCAGATTGGGATTGGAGGTGATATATGAGGGATCCTATTAAGATTAATTTGGAACTAGTACTTCACTCTAGGACTGCATCCCCCTAAGATAAGCACATGAGTATCATTTTGGCTTTGATCTGAAATATCCTTTATAGATTCACATTTTGAACTACTTAGCTGGTGGGGCTATTTTGGACCTGTGGATCTCTGAGGAGATGAGGGCTGGCTGGTAGAAGCAGGTCACTAAGAGCTTGGTTCACGCTGTTCTCTTTACTTCCTGTCATGATGACTGAAATCTCCAACTATGAATAAAAATAAACCTGTCCTTCCTTAAATGGTTTCTTTCAACTACTTAAAAAAATCATAGCACTTACCTCCCTCTGCTTCCCTGGGCCTGCCAGACCCTCAGGCCTCTCTCTGACCCCAGGACTCTCTTGTCTGGGTAAGTCGATCTTGCCCTCCATGCCTTGATTCCTCAAGCCTCACTCACCCTCCCATCTCCCCCACCAGTCTCTCCTCCTAGCCTGGGTCCTGTCCCATTCCTTGTCTTGGCTCCCCAGACACCTGGGGAACCACCACTGCTTCTTCCTGATCCTGTGCATCCTGACCAACTCAGTTCCTTCTCTGGTCCTGAGGAGCACTGCTTCTGGGCCTGGCTGCACCCTCACGTCCCTCCGCCTCCCTGGGTCTGCACAACCCGCCAGCCTCTTTCCTGGACATTGGGGCTGACCTTTCCTCTTCTTGGTCCTTTGCATCCAGACCAACCCAGCTCCTCAGTGCAGTCCCCAGGGGCACTTAGGGCCACCTCCGGCCCCCATCTTCCTTTACATCTCTGGGTGGCATGGCCACCAGCTGCCCTGCACCAGCATCTTTCCTGGGCCTGGCTCCCTGGCCAGTCCAACCCTTTGCATCCAGACCAACCCAGCTCCTCAGTGCAGTCCCCAGGGGTCCTTGGAGCCGCCTCCCACCCCCATCTTCCTTTGCATCTCTGGGTGGCACGGCCACCAGCTGCCCTAAACCAGCCTCTTTCCTGGGCCCAGTTCCCAGGCCAGTCCAAGCCCCAAATTCCTGAGGCTAAAATCTATCCTAGAGGGATCCAGAACTTAGGAGAAATCCTGAGATCATCTGATCCTCATCTGACTTGGGCCACTGTGGAAACTCCTGAAGACAAAGGCAATCTGGCCACTCCAATATAAAATCAAAAGAGAGAACTGGAAGCTTAGAGAATACAGCCTATCATGCCCAAAAATTAAACCACAAAGACACATAAAGTTCACAAAAAGAAGCAGACCTAAACTTAAAGGCTTGAGTCTCACATGAGAATCAGAAACTACAAAAGAAATTCACATGTCAAAATCACAGAGAAAAAACAACATGAAAAACCAAAGCACCATATCGCCACCAAATACCAATAGTCCTCTAGAGGAGTACAAAAAGAACACCCTAGAGACGACATGGAACTAAAAAGAACAGTTGTAAACATGACAAAAGAATTCAGTGAATTTAAAGAACACACAAGGAAAGAAATCAAAGAATTGAAAGAAGATAGAGATAAACTTATGAATGAATTCAGAAAAGGAAATATTGAAGAATACTCACGCTAAAATGAATAAGTGAAACACTCAGTAAGCCAATTAGAAACAAAAGGAGAAAGCCTCACCAATATGATGAATAAAATGGAAAACAGAGTATCAAGACTGGAAGATAAAGTGGATGAACTAGACCACTCAAGCAAAGATTATGAAAAATTTAAGAAATCACAAGAATGGAATATGTAGGAATTGTGTGACACCATAAAAAGACCAAACTCTCGAATCATAGGCATACAGGAAGGAGAAGAACCCCAAGATAATGGCATGAACCAGATCTCAACAGAACCGTGGAAGAAAATTTTCCAAAATCAAAGAAAGACATGCTCATACACTACAAGAAGTATATAGAACACCAAACAGGCAAGACCGGAAAAGAAACTCTCCATGGCACATCATAGTAAAAACACTAAATGTAAAAAACAAAGAGACAATATTGAAAGCTGCAAAAGAGAAACAACAAGTCACATATAAAGGAAAACCCATTAGGATTACAGCTGACTTTTCAGTGCAAACTATGAAAGCCAGAAGAGCCTGGACCAAAGCATTCCCAATTTTGAATGACCACAGATGCCAACCCAGACTTGTATACCCAGTCAAAATGTCTATTATAGTCGAAGGGGAAAGAAAAATCTTCCATGACATAAATAGGCCGAAGGAATTCATGTCCACAAAACCAGCCCTTCAGAGAGTTCTGGAAGCAATACAAAGAGCCGAAAAAGGGAATGACTATACCCAAGGAGTTGCGGAAAGAAATTCAATGAAGGTATGACTGTGGAAAAGTACAGCTATATCAAGAATGTAAACAGAAATAAAAATGACAGGATTCAATA